TCTTACTAATTCCATATCCAACTCAGATTTTTTCAATATCTCATTATTAAATTTGTATCACATACTTCATGATGTGTTTAACACAACTAAAGGCAAGCATGGCACCCCCTGAATGCACATTTTGAAATTTAGACTCTACGCTTCCAAGTGGCACAACTGTCTACGGCAAAACATGTTATCTTTTCAAGTGAAATTGTCTTAAATCTGGACAATATATCTAGTAGTTTTCATTCAAACCTATTGTAAGAATCCTACTCCCACACCTTTTTACCTGAGTAAGTTTAAGTGAAATTATCTCACTGTATTGGTAGAAAAGTTTGCCTGTTTTAGGAAATAATGCTTGAAACAAGCAAAACTATCAGCCAAAATAATATAGTATTTGATAGAGTATCATAGAAGTAATGAAATTAATTTGTCCAGAAAGTAATACTTATGCACTCATAATAGTAAAGACGTATTTAGTAACTTGAATGGATTACATAAGTAATAACCCAATGTCACAATATCAACCCCTCTGGAAATCATAGTTGGTCCTGCCCAGACTGTGACCACCCCTTCAATACATAATATACCTGCAGCTAGAATAAGGACTCATTAATTGCCATATACATATACCTCGACACTAGAGCTATGTATCTATACTTACATTAACACTAGCATTACATATGGTCTCTCTCTTTCTCCCTTTCTTGCTCTCGCTATATATACCCGTGGATTGTTTGTTGGGGCAGCTGATGAGAAGGGCGCTGCAAGTATTGACCTCGTAGACTGGGTGACTCTAAATCGGAAACATTTCACATGTGTATGTCAGTGCAAAAGGCATTTGGAAGTAGCAGCAGCTTATCGTAGGCGAGACCACAATGACCCCACACCTATGCTTCCTCCAGGCACATTGGTCTGCTGTGGAAACTATTTTCATAGTATATGCAAGTTTCAGGACATGTGGAGCTCCACTGTCTTTGAGATTGTGGAGTGCTTAGATAAGGTAGGAACATTGTATAAGATTAGGCCTACTGGAAATGAAGGACCCTGTAAAACATTGCACAGGTCAGAAATGAAACTTGTGCTAGGTACAGCGAACTTACAGGCACCAGTAGAGGAGAGTACTTCAAGACCTGCTATAGCCCTACATCAGGAGAAGGGGCAGGGGGGCTCTAATAAGAATAGTTTTCTTGAGGGAACATTGCTGTATGTGAGACCCAGTGCTATTGTAAATGAGCCAAGAGATCAGGTTTCCCCTCCAGACATTCATTTGGAACCTCTGCAAGTAGACCAGGAGAAAAATCATCAAAAGGAAAAATAAACTATGAAAAGCTTAAATGTCAGAAAAAATTATAAAACACAACCAAAAGAAAGTACAAAATACAAAAAAAATCAAAATGGAAACATAATAGGAAATTAAAGACATTGTGGCATCCACCATGGATCACAGTGCTGTGAGGGGCTGTGGCCATGTAAAGTGGCTCTCAGGAGATGCGACACTTTAAAAAGTACACAATGTTCCTGCTATTGCTGATCTGTTGCTGATATTGGAGAACTTGTGTTAATTAGTTTAATTGTGACGAGGAGGGTGGTTGTACAGTATGTTGAAAGCATCTACCGTCCTCATATGTCATATCATGTCATGTTACCCCCTCCTTGTGTTTTGTATAGGGGCAGCGCTATGCTGGGTGTTTCTGGTCTTTGTAAAGACTTGCTGTTGAAGTGTCTGTTCAGTCAAGAGCTTTTACATGTATGCACAATGCTTTCCACAAACAAATTCTTCTTCACTGACACTATACTGTCATCAGAAGTGGGATATGGCCACAGAGCTGGAAGAAGTCAACCGGTGTAATAATGAACTCAAAGGTAGATGACAAAGAACACTTAGGAAGAGGAAGGTGCACTGAGTGCCACGCCCACCCCTTACCTAATGGATTCAGCCAGCTAAGAGTGAGGTGACTGGCTGAGGAAAATGGCAGAGGAAACAGTCCAGTGAGAAATACTCCAAACCAGCAGGAGGAACTCTGTAACCAAAGAAAGTGAAAGAATGAATAAATCCACCTCATTGTCTGCCACCAAGCCCAAACTTGTGGTTTTGGTTTTGTGGTATGCACTTTACACATTTCAAATTTGTCAAAAGTTATATTTCTGAAGTTGTGTGTTAGAATGTCACCAATGCTTCAAACTATGGCCTACGTACTTAAGTCAATCATGCTTCAGTGAAGTCTTCAGGAAAGTGTGAGTTTGTGTGTTTAGTGTGGTCTTGTACGCTGTGCTTTGTGTGTTGAAGAAATGAGACACACTTGGACACTTGATTAGTCATTCCAACATGGCAACACTGGTTGGGAGCTCTGTCGTATTTTGTTTGTTTTTGTTCGTTTGTACTGTTATATGTGAACCAGTTTCACTCACATACAGCGCAGAAAATCTGCTGAACATCAGGCAGTCCATGCCACAAGGCATTGTTCCTGACTTTTCACTCTGTTTTTTTGGACATTTTAGCTTGCACCAGTCTTTACAACACTTTTTAATAAATCACTGGAGCTGTGTGTCTTACCTTCCAGCCAAGTGTAAAGTTTGGTGGAGGGGGGATTACGGTGTTTCAGGAATTGGGCTCGGCCCCTTAATTCCAGCGAAAGGAACTCTTAATGCTTCAGCAGACCAAGAGATTTTGGACAATTTCATGCTCCCAACTTTGTGGGAACAGTTTGGGGATGGCCCCTTCCTGTTCCAACATGACTGCACTCCAGTGTACAAAGCAAGGTCCATAAAGACATGGATGAGTGAGTTTGGTGTGGAAGAACTTGACTGGCCTGCACAGAGTCCTGAACTCAACCCGATAGAACACGTTTGGGATGAATTAGAGAAGAGACTGTGAGCCGACATCACATTAAATAGAATGGGATGTCACTCAAGTTCATATGCGTTTGAACACAGATGAGCGAATACTTTTGGCAATATAGTGTATACAAGAATTCTGTTCTTGGACTTCAGCTCAGCCTTTAATACAATCATCCCAGGACAGCTACACAACAAACTGCTCCAACTCAGCGTGCCAACCCCCACCTGTCAGTGGATCACCAACTTCCTCACTGGCAGAGAGCAGCAGGTGAGGTTGGGAAAGTTCACCACAAACACCCAGGTCATAAGTACGGGCGCTCCACAGGGTTGTGTCCTCTCCCCTTTGCTCTTCTCACTGTAGACTAATGACTGTAGCTCCACAGATCCCTCAGTCAAAATTTTGAAGTATGCAGATGACACTACAGTCATTAGTCTCATCCGAGATGGTGACGAGTCTGCTTCCAGACGGGTGGTTGATCAGGTGGTTGTTTGGAGCAGCCACAACAACCTGGTGCTGAATACAACAAAAACAGTGGAGATGACAGTGGACTTCAGGAGGAGCCCTCCAGCCCTGACAGCCCTCACCATCCTGGACAGAACTGTGATGGCAGTAGAGTCCTACAAGTTCCTGGGTACAACATTCACCAGGGACCTGAATTGGGACAGCAACATCAGCTCCATCATCAAGAGAGCCCAGCAGAGGATGTACTTCCTGCATCAGATGAGGAAGTTCAACCTGCTCCAGGAGCTGATGGTGCAGTTCTACACAGCCATCATAGAGTCTGTCATCACCATGTCCATCACAGTGTGGGGCAGCTCAGCCACCAAGCATGACCTCCACAGACTACAGTGCATCATCAGGTCTGCAGAGAGGACAGTTGGGGTTAAGTTACCCACTTTGCTGGAACTGCATGCCTCCAGAATCAGGAAGTGTGCAGAGAAGATCTCGACTGACTTGTCCCACCCCAGACACCAACTGTTCCAGCTCCTTCCCTCAGACCGGTGCTTCAGCCAGATGAGGATCAGGACATCCAGGCTACAGAGGAGCTTCTTCCTACAAGCCATTACTTTCTTAGACAGTTAATTATTACACAGAAACAATATTCCAGCTTCTAAACTGCACTCAATTATCACACTCAAACCAATGTTTATTCTAGCATCTTACTTACCTGCCATATTTGCCACTATACACCCTTTATCTGCTGCTGCACTCACCACTTTAACACTTTAACTACATTTGCACAATGTAAAGGTTACAGGTATGACTGTGTGTGTGTGTGTGTGTGTGTGTATGAGTGAGTGATGGTAGGAGTACATGTTTCATTTTATATTTATTTTATTTTATTCACTACATGTAAATGTTTGATACTGTGATCTCCTGTAAGCAAAACCAAATTCCTTGAATGTGTAAGCAAAGCTGGCCAATAAAGCTTCATTCTGATTCTGATTGCCAGACAGCTCATGGACCTCCACACCAGTACAAAAAAGAGTGAACTTTAGGACAAAAGAATAAGCCCAACTGTCACACTTGTGACCACATTGTTATCCTTTGTGTTTGCTGCTCAAAAAGTCATTAAGTTTCCCATTCCTCATTTTGGATTCAAGGAGATGCTCAAAAGTACCCTGTATGCACCCCTTTACTTTCTTTATTGAGGACTACTTTAATTTGGACTCAGCAACGGTCTCTTACTCGAAAGTCTTTGAAATACAGGCTATGAAATACAGAATCTGAGATTCAGTATGACTGCAATGAGTTGTAATCAGGTGTGAAATAAAATGGTTCTGTTTTTGTTTTGTTATTGAGCTGCATTATTCTGGAAAGCTGGAGCAATGTAGATAAACATTTGCTAATTAGCTATTTAGTTTGTGTAATTCCATTTATTATATCCCCATTTTATTTAAATAAATGAGGACTGGTTAATGCTTTTTAAGAAAACATTTTAGTTTTAAGAAATAATGCAACAGCAATAGTTCTTGTACTGCAACAGCTTTTATTAAATTTGATGTACTGAATAAGACATGCACAGATTTAAACAGAACAGCATTCTTCTAATAAACTATTTCAACTTTGTATCTATCTCCAAAGTTTACATCCTACAAAGAAAAAAAGAAAAGAAAGCCTGTCTTGTTAGATTCTGCCTTTTTCGTTTTAAGCAAGGGGAACCCATTGCATGGTTCTAGGCCACAGGCCTGATCTTCATAGTGATGGACTTGAGACCATAATCATAGGTTTTCCAGTGGTACCACACATCTCCAATAGCGAAAAGGGTGCCATCCCTTCCCCACAGATAGATACCGTTGGGGTTAGCATGGTGGCAAGCATTGTACCAAAATGCTCCGAGGAAGGATTTAGCACAGTTACCACTCCAAGAGTCCTGGTCTTTGTCAAAGGTGGAGAACTTCTGTCCATTTGATGTTGCCAGTGAGTCACCTGCAGACAGAAGGATCTGTCACTACAGAGATGCTTTACACATTCACTATCACAAAACATAGTAAAGAACAACTTTACAACATAGTTATATTGAAAATGACTTTCTATTTTATATGAACACTGTTCTCTGACTATCCAGACAGCCATATGCAGGGTGGTGTAATAATGCAATATATGTTACAATATTTTTAGGTAAAAAGGGAAAAAAGGAAAAAAGTAAAGGATCACATTTACAAAAATTACAAAAACTGTCACAAACACATTCAAATTTCTCACACTTTGTCAAGATTTGCCATTCTGGATGTTAAATACATCACATGATTCATGTAAACTTAGAGTTTTTCATTTTGTAAGGCATCAGGGCTGCCACCAGCAGAGAAATATAAAGAACCGCCCCACAAGTTCAGTCTTTCATTGAGTCAATCTATAGATTTTTTTTCCTCCTTTTTATTGGCAGAACTGAGCTCACATTAGTGGTAACTAATATTTTAACTAAAATGAAACAGAAGAACAATGAAGCGGTAAAGTTGGTTTTACTTTTGTAATATATTTACTTTTACATACATGATTTCTTCCTTCCATTTTTTTATTTTTTATTATTAGATGGGTGCAAAATCTGCTGTGTTGTGTAAATTCTATTTATTATTAATTAAACAATCTGTTCCCATTTATTTTTTGTGTGAAATGAATTAATTTTAATATTCTTAGAACATGTTGATTACCATGTACTTTAACCACTGAGAGTTTAGGGACAATCAACAAATTACATCACAAACAGTGGTCAGCAAATTGATGAATATAAAATGATAGATTTAAATTTTAGCTTTTATATTTATATCTAGATGTGTTAACTTAGAACATGGCACCTTTTGTTTGAACTCACTCTTTTTTCAACTGAGCAAAAACATTGGAACATGTGATTCACTGGTGTTTCTTGTTGCCCAGATGTGCCCTGTTAGATTGAGCTTTTTTTTTTAACAATTAGGTCTGAATGTCTGCTCTTGGTGTGAGCCTGTGGTTTATTCTGTGAAGATTACATTTGCTATTAAAAAGGACAAACCAACATGAAGACCAGATAACTCTCTGCAAGCCAAACTGAGAAAAGAGGGAAAACTGAATCATTGTACAAGAACTGGGTGTAGCCAATTCATCAGTTTAGAATGTCCTGAAAAGCCAAGAAACCACTAAATTACTAACAACCAGACCTCAAACAGGTCTGCCAAGGAAAACAGCAGCAGTTGATGACAGGAACATTGTGAAAGCTGTGAAGAAAAATCAACAGTCAGTGACATCACCAATGACCTCTACCAGGCAGGGGTGAAGAGATCACAATCCATTATGCAAAGAGAGAAGAAAAATAGAGGCCATAACACAAGAATCACTCATCAGCAGTAAGAATAAGAAGGTCAGAGTGGATTTCACAAAGAAATTCAGAGATGACCAAAAAAGTTCTGAAACAGAATAAAGAGTTTTATGGATTTATATGACCAAGATTAACCTTTACCAAAGTGACGGAAATGACACAGCATGGAGAAAGAAAAGATCTACTAATGATCTCTATATTTGCAAGCTCATCAATCAAGCACGGTGGAGGTAGTGTCATGGCTTGGCTGCTTCTGAAACAGACTCTCTCCTCTACATTGATGATGTAGCTCATGATGGCAGCTGAAGAATGAATTCAGTCTACAGAAACATTCTGTCTGCCAATTTACAGAGAAATGCATCTTCACCTTGTAAATAGGAGACTGAAGATACAACCCCCCCAAAACAAACAACAACTGATAGAAGCTGCATGAAAAACCTGGAAAAGCTTCACAAAATAAGAATGCAAAGATTGTTGATGTCAGTAGGTCACCAGCTTGATATAGTTATTGCAATTAAAAGATATGCATCCAAATAAGTATTATTTATTATTTATATTTTATTTATTATTTCATAATTATGTGTTTGTATACATTTGCTTACCTAAATACTGGGGGCCCTGACACCAAAGACACCATGTTTTAGTTTATTTAATACATCTAGATGTAAATATCATGAAATGAAAGCTGAATTTCTGGTCCATCATATATTCATATTTTAATCTCAAACCCAAATGTCTTCACTGGATAGCCAAAGCAAAAGAACAGCCATTCCAAAATATTCAGAGGGCACTATATGCTGAACCTGTATAGGTCCAAGTAGGCAGTTCTTGCCCATGTTGAGCAACAAAACCAGACTCTCTGAGACAGGCAGAAGCATGTCTTGTGAAACTATAGCACCACTAATGTGAGAAAAACAACACGTAGTAGAGCTCCAGACAGTAGTTCTCTAGACAGTTTTCAGAGCTCATACATGACTATGTTTTTTGCCCAACCTGTTTGCTTTTGGTCCTGGAAAAAGGTACACTGAAAGTCCACACACTGATGCAGAGAAATGTTATGTAAAGGCATAGCATTCCTACACATTCTACCTGTTATTTACCAGCTATTACATTTGTACAGTCTAATATGTCTTTTTAAAACTCTATGTAATTCACTATATGTAGCTTCAAATTGTGGCACTAAATGGGTAATTCAGCATAAATATTGACAACTGAATATTAAATTGATGAGGGAAGATCGTGACAATGGCTTTTTCTGCATCCAATATGATTTTTTTTCCCTTAATTATTTCTATATTGTTAATTCTGTCTCACCTGCTCCTCCATTGATGAATCCACTAACGGTGAGTTTGTAGCCATTGACTTCAGAGTCCACAGAGAAAGTAGAGTACTGGGCGTAAACCTTCCCTCCCTCAAAGTCCTCCAGGTCCACTCTCAGCTCATACGTTCTCTTGCGGGTGAGCTGGTAGAGGATTTCTAATCCTGTTGAAGCAAAGGCAAAAGCAGTTATAAAGGTTATTCATGAAGATTCAGGTCCAAAAGTGTGACAACATGCACAGCTTATCCTTGATATGAAGAGGTCTTCATTTTCCAAAGTTTACATTATTTTGTTGTCCTAAAACTGAATGTTCAGTCTTGGTTTTATGTTTCAGAAACTTTTTAAACAACCTTGTGAGGAAAACTCAGATAATAAGTAAATGTATCCAAATGAAGTCAAGCTTCAAGTTTCAAGTTTATTTGTCATTTGCACAACATGTCAGGATATTTATGCATTGAAATGCATGTGGTTAGGCTCAGGTAATCACTTGTGAAAAACAAAGATACAAGAAAAACACGCTGAAATATGCTAAATATACACAAAATATAGAGACGATATATAAGTCACCATAGCACATGAATTTCTGCTTTGAATCCACTTCTTTCTTGACGTGTTTCTTTCATTATATTAGTAAATGCTGCTATGATCTACATTAATTTAGGTCCAAAACAAATTTCACACTGGAATCTTGCTAATTTGTGTACTAATTGTGTGCTAATTTTCAATATCTAACATTAGCAAATTTGTTTCAGATATTTCATGATGTGTTCAACAGAAGTTTAATTTGCCAAAGAAAAAGAAAAGAAAAGAAAAGAAAAGAAAACTGTTGATCATGAAACCTGTTTTGTAACAGTCCATGGTACCAAACATGTGGCAAACACCAGGGATTCTTACTGATTCTTGGGTTCTGGGGAAAAGACAGAAATGGTGCCCCCTGGATGCGTATTTTGAAAATGAATGAGTGACAACCGTCTACACAGCAAATCATCTTAAATCTAGTAGAAATATCTAATAATCTTAATTCTGAGATCGTTGTAAGAACATTTGAAGATTATTTATGTACTTCTGGACATTTTTAAGTAAATTTATTAAGTGAAATTATCTCACTGTATTGGCAGATTATTGTTATTTGGTTTAAGAAATAATGCTTGAAATATGCAAAACTCTCTGCCAGTATAGTGAAATTATTTTGTGCATAGTATCATAGAAGTAAGAAGTTATAGAACATAACCATAACAGTTCAAGATAATGTGAGTGTGTGTACCTGTTGCAAAAGACCATTCCTGACCAATATTTGTAAGAAAACTGTATTCTTGATGGTATTGATTTAAATTTTAATCGGATTATTTTAAATAAATTATTTCAAATTAAATATTTGAAATTTTTAAAAGAACAAATTAGGTTGCTTACATTTATTCAATTGTGTTTTGTTTGTTTTTACATTGCTGCTTAAAATTCATTCTTTCAGTTTGTTTATAATGAAATTTGTCTCTACACTGTGTTTGTGATAGGTAATGAATTCTCACCCAGCCAGTATTCTCCATTTTTGTTCCCAAATCCTTTCTTGTACTGCTCCCATGGTCTGTAGAAGTTCACACTGCCATCCATTCTCTTCTGAATCACCTGGTGTGAAGATAACATTTGCTTCTTTAGTGCAATAAGGACAGTCATACATACTGTAAAGTACTATGGAGACTTCTTATAGAACTTCAGCGTGAATCAAATTAAAATCTAAAATTTTGCAGCAGATGGATTTTATATCTTTACAATTGCTTAATTTTCTTTTTATTTACATTGAACAGTGTTGGGTAAAATACACAAATCCAGTACTTGAGTGAAAATAGTGATGCTATAGTAGCAACACATTATTATTATTATTATTATTATTATTCATGCAAAAGAATAAGTATTTTATGTAAGTTAAAGTACTTAAAAAATATATGTTTTGTGATATATTTGCACATTTCTCTTCTTTTTTAAAAAAGGGGTATCAGTTGACTCCACATCCAAACTGGGACGTCAGCTATCTGATTAAAAAAGATGGACGTTTGATATGTAGGGCGGGATTTAGAGAAAGGTGTGATATGATTTGGGTTAATTTATTTGTGAAAATGCATTACCTTGCTTCATACATTATGGAAAATGCAACTTTTATTTTCTTGTGTTGCAGACAGTAGAACAGTAGAATGTAAACGTCTCAAAAAATAAATATTTAATAAAGTACACATGCTAATAATAGTTACTTTTTCATTGAATTAAAATAATATTTTTAACACTTAATAACAATAAGTGTCTCTTTATTGGTGATGTTTAAATTCTACAAATTACACATTTTGGACTTTTTCATGCTTATGACTGCATGACATTCACTGGTTCACTAATACTGACAGTTCATAGGTTAATTTATACTGATGTTGCTAATAGACAATAATAATTACTGTTTGTTAAAGATTCAGATGTGAATCGACCTCAACACTTTAGTTACTCTATTAGAGAGATACAGTCTAACATACCGTCCAGTTTCCATCCTTCTGTCCTTCATTGCCCATGTCACACTGCACCTCTACAGGTGTGTCACCTGCAGGGTAGATGGTGTAAACTCCACTCGTTTTTTGTCTGTTAGCGTAGATATTAGAGCAGTCTGTCGCGACCACGTCCTGGCAAACTGAGGCGCTCCCAACCAGCAGGGGGAGCCCTAGAGCCAGAAACACTCTAAGCTGGAGGGAAGACAGAGTGACTGAGAGACACAATAAAAAAAATAATACAATAAAACTGCACAAGTACAAGTAAAATTTTGTTATTTCTTAACACCTATGTGAAAAAATGGAAGTTAAGAAATAGAGACCACGGATAGACACAACGGCCAATTCATTAAAACCACCTCCTTCTTTCTACAATCATTGTCCATTTTATCAGTTCCACATATCAAATAGGACCATAGTTCATCCAACACCCTTTAGTGGTGGATCATTCTCAGCACTGCAGTAACACTGATGTGGTGGTGGTATGTTAGTGTGTGTTGCACTTTTGTGAGTGGATCAGACACAGCAGTGCTGCTGGAGTTTTTAAACACCTCAGTGTTGCTGCTGGACAGAGAACCAAAAATATCCAGCCAACAGCGTCCTGTGGGCAGCGTCCTGTGAGCACTGATGAAGGACTAGAGGATGACCAACACAAACTGTGCAGCAGCAGATGAGCTATCGTCTCTGACTTTACATCTACAAGGTGGACTGACAAGGTAGGAGTGTCTAATAGAGTGGACAGTGAGTGGACACAGTGTTTAAAAACTCCAGCAGCACTGCTGTGTCTGATCCACTCGTACCAGCACAACACACACTGACACACCACCACCACGTCAGTGTTACTGCAGTACTGAGAATGATCCACCACCCAAATAGTACCTGCTCTGTGAGGGTCCATGGGGGTCCTGACCACTGAAGAACAGGGTAAAAGGGGGCTAACAAAGTATGCAGAGAAACAGATGGACTACAGTCTGTAACTGTAGAACTACAGAGTGAAACTATAAGGTCAGTGGAGCTGATCAAATGGACAGTGGGTGTAAAACCAAAGAGGTTGTTTTCAAAAAGTTACATTACAATAATATGACTTACTGTCATTGTTGCTTCAAGAAGCTCTTCCAAGAAACAATAGCTTACAGCTTGATTCTGAAGCAGAGGTTAGGTCAGCACCTGGACAGAAATCAGGTTACATTATAATTTTATGCACATTTCAGTGTCCATTCAACATGAAGTCAACATGTGGACTTTTTACATTTTGTTTTTATTTTGTCCACCACTTTCATGTGAATGTAATCATGCCATGTTGCAGTAGAAGTAATGAAGATTTTGTTCAGTAATATAACAGTGTCATGTTACCAAAATCAGTAATTGTTGTGACAGATGTCCTTATGTTAAATGTTGTAACAGTTATTTCCATGCTAATTTTTGGTGTGTCTTCTAGTTATCCCTTATTTTATTGAACATTACAGCATCTGCCATGACAATTACCAGGAATGGTAACATAATTACAAAAATCAAAGTGTTACTGAGGTGGGAAAACTATTTTAAAGTAAACAAGGCTGAGCATAAGTACATTTCGGTCAATAACGACCTTCAGAGTCGCACAGAACAGCAGAGATGAGTCAATAAAAGACATCAAATGTGACTTACCTGTATGGTTTGTCTTACACAGTCTCAAGTCTTCATACTCACATGCTTTTAAACCCTGCTGGACCATCTAACCCCTCCTAACTAGAGCACGTGTGAGTTAGGGGGAAAATTCCTTAAGGAAATTCCTGTAACTGGCAAACAACCTAATGCATGCAGTGTTTTCTCTGATGTATGCTTAGATATGAACATGTAAATAATGTCCAGCTGATCACTCAGGAATAGTCAGTGTTGTCAGATGATTATTATGATATATACTTTGATATTAACTCAGGCCAAAGCATTAAATTGCATGTAAGGTTTGTCTTACAGGCAATTTATCTGCTCTGTGATTGCAACATTGTGAAAGTCTTGACAAGAAAGCACAGTGACAGAATCAGGAGTGAAGGACTAATCTGATAAACTGACCCCCGAAAACAGCAGTATTAAGACGTTTCATTGGACAGCGGCAGCTGAACTTATGTTGAATCGTTCTTAATGAAACTAGGGGAGCTGCAACTAAATGCAGAGTAATATGTAACTTTATCTAATTAAACAGGTTCAAACAGAACTCCTAGATTCACTACTACGTTATTATAAACTTTCTCTTGGTGGCTTTAGTATAGCCCTGCAGATAAACAGCCTAAAGTGAGAGCTATCCAGGCTACAGTACCTGAACATGGGGGATACTTTGAGTCCCCTAAAGTAAACAGTTACAGAATTTCTTTTTTGGAAGGTTTTATGAACAGATTTATCGAACATGTATTATACACCGATCAGGCATAACATTATGACTCTTCTTTCTTCACTCATTGTCCATTTTATCAGCTCTACTTACTATATAGGTGCACTTTGTAGTTCTACAGTTACAGACTGTAGTCCATCTGTTTCTCTGATACTTTGTTAGCCCCCTTTTACCCTGTTCTTCAGTGGTCAGGACCCCCATGGACCCTCACAGAGCAGGTACTATTTGGGTGGTGGATCATTCTCAGCACTGCAGTAACACTGACGTGGTGGTGGTGTGTTAGTGTGTGTTGTGCTGGTCTGAGTGGATCAGACACAGCAGTGCTGCTGGAGTTTTTAAACACCTCAGTGTCACTGCTGGACTGAGAATAGTCCACCAACCAAAAATATCCAGCCAACAGCGTCCTGTGGGCAGCGTCCTGTGACCACTGATGAAGGACTAGAGGATGACCAACACAAACCGTGCAGCAGCAGATGAGCTATTGTCTCTGACTTTACATCTACAAGATGAACTGACAAGGCAGGAGGGTCTAATAGAGTGGACAGTGAGTGGACACAGTGTTTAAAAACTCCAGCAGCACTGCTGTGTCTGATCCACTCGTACCAGCACCACGTCAGTGTTACTGCAGTGCTGAGAATGATCCCCCACCCAAATAGTACCTGCTCTGTGAGGGTCCATGGGGGTCCTGACCACTGAAGAACAGGGTAAAAGGGGGCTAACAAAGTATGCAGAGAAACAGATGGACTACAGTCTGTAACTGTTGAACTACAAAGTGCACCTATATAGTAAGTGGAGCTGATAAAATGGACAATGAGCACAGAAACAAGGAGGTGGTCATAATGTTGTGCCTGATCGGTGTAGATATCTCATCAATCAGGGGTTCAGAATTAATCAACTTTTTTGCCAAGTATGTCATACATGCAAGGAATCAGTCTTGGAGAGTAACACATGTATGACATGTAACATACTGAACACACCACAAACACAGAGCATTAACAAATAATTAACTACGGGACAAATGAAATAAAAATGCAGCTCTGGGGAAAAAAGTCGTTAGCATGTCTGGTTGTGCTGCTGTTGATGGCGCTGAATCTTCTACCAGAGGGAAGTGTCTGGAAAAGGTAATGTCCAAGATGAAGGGGTCAGCTGTTATTTTGCCGGTGCACTTCATCACCATGCTGTTGTAGATGTTCTGAAGCATTGGCAGTCTACATCCAATGATTATCTCCGCTGTCCTGATTATGCACTGAAATTTGTCTCATTCTTTGAGGTGGAGGACCAAACCAAGTGGTTGTGGATGATGTGAGGATGGACCTGATCACTGTGAGCACTGGTCTCAGGAAGAGCATTCCCTGCCCTGGTCTCTTGACTGTGGAGAACGTGTTCTTCTCCCAGTGGTGTCATCTGCAAATTTCTCGATCTTTGCAGCTGGTTCCCTAGAGATGTATTGATTGGTTGGTCTCATTGAACATATTGTCAAGGCAACACAAAAAAAAGTTTATTTATAAAGCACTTCTCGTATACAAAGGTAATTGAATGTACTTTACAGAAATAAAAAGAAAATGGAACATCAAAAGGAAAAATAAGACTTCTTAAGAGGGAGAAGTCAATAAAAATAATGAAAAAAAAATTAAAGAAATAAAAAGCTCAATTTTATTTCATGTCTTCTCCCACGCCAATACTACAGTGGTGTCAGAAGTGGGATATGGCAGCCAAGCTGATAGCAGTCAAGTGGTATATCAATGAACTTGTATTCAGACAGAAAG